CTGGTTTTCCCGATGGCCTCGGTGTTTTAAAAAAACATAGATTGGAATGAAGAAGGCGAGTTAGCCTAGATGGTCTGTGTCACTGTTTGACTACCTGAAATCGCTTGCCATCATGGCTCGATATCTCATTGGTGCTTCGGGAACGAATGTTGCCTTGCAGAAATAGCACACCTAAAGCATCGATCATTTTATTCAATCATGAGTAACTAGCGCGTCGTAAACAGTTTATTTAATGTTTTTTTATGGCCACTGGCCACGGCAATATCCGCAAGTAGCCGAGCGATCGGGGTGGTGAAGAAGAAACCTGTGACGGGCACCCACCAATGGCGCACCTTGTCAAGCTGTCCACGCCGATCAAGCTCCCACGTTGAGCCTTTTTCGCTTCCCTGTCGTGACAGTTGCCGCACGCGCGGCGCGTTGCAGATGAAGCAGACGATTTAAGAAGTGACATGCGGACGAGAATATGTCAGTAGAACTTAAGCGCACACCTACTACAGCCTGTGGGTGGTGCTCGCACCCTGTCGTCACATCCGAGTACAGTAGGAACAGAAAATAGCTTTTAAAAGCGTGCCGATTTAGTTCGTGAGGGTGCACTCACGTTTTCTGTTACGTTTTTTACGCTCTCGAGTGCTTGGCCTATCATTTGACGCGAAAAAAAAACGATAAGCGAAAAATTTTGTGTAGATACTCATTTAAGACCTCCCTCATTGTTAGCTAACCCTGGAGATTACTCAGAGTACAACTTCTATTTGTGAAGTCAGCCCGTTGGCCTCAATTATCTTGTCTAAAACTCGGAAGGAGTGAACCTTTCGGATTCTGTGCCCATTTGTATTTTTTAGTCTGATCAAAATATCGTCTAAAGGCTTAAAACGGTTTTCCTTGGGACCCCTTCTTGTGGTTCGATACAAGAGGAGCTCAGATTTAGACTCTTTTGTGAAGTGAGTGAGATAACTTTTTCAGGTCCACTATAGACGCGGGTTAGCACTGCGTCACCTGCCTAGGCCCACTCGGGGGAATAGCCAGGTCTTCGCGGGGCTCTCTGGACGGCCAGGATGTAAGGTGCAAGGTCCTTGGCCTTAATCAGCTTGTTCATTTTCGTCTTGTTGAAAAGGGAGACCGGCAAAGGCACAGCCCCACAGGACATGCTCGAACACAGCATAATCGCCACACTGGGGTAATCCGGGATTGAAAATCGTTCGAGGTATAATTTTTTGCAGTGCCGCATGCCTAGAGAGCTTCTTGTTTGAAACAGTCTGAGAGTGACAGCTTGGGCCCTGCACAGCAAGGAGTGTAAAAACATTGTTAACTGACCAGAAATTGTTGGATGTGTCCTTATTAACTACCAGAGCCCCAGATAATGATGTCATCCGCGCAAATGAGGCTCCGTGCTTCTCCATGGTAAAAAAAAAGCTAAGCTTACAATCTCCTGCGATGCAAACGCGTACCGTGGACCGTGGTGCACGAGCATGAGCCACACGTGACTGCAAGAAAGTGTTTCACGACGTAGGCTACAGTACTTTTCCGGTATTCACGCAGTGATCAGTCATCGGTATTCTCCAAACTTTCTCTTCGTTTCATTCCAATTATGGTGAACACCAACTTAAAGAGGTGGCTACAAGATTACCCGGACCTACGTGGATAAACAGACCGACAGATGGAAAGACCAACAGACATACCGACACACAGACACCCAGACAGACGGACAGGCAGACAGATATATATAGGTTGACAGATAGATAGATAGATAGATAGATAGATAGATAGATAGATAGATAGATAGATAGATAGATAGAAGTAAAAGATGAAGTTCTTTCTGTACGCAAATAAATACATCGCCCTTCAAAGTTTCCTTCAAAACATTCAAGGATTTAATATCACAAATAGGAGAAATATACTTTATCATTTACTGCCTCGAAGCTCATGAAGAAGCCCTCGCACTTTACCAGATATATCAGTCTGGTTAGAGGAGACCATCACTGAAAAACGAGAATAGCAGATGAATGTATTAACAGCTTGGTTGGTTTTGTTTGACAGAACTGCACCATACCAACCGTAAATAAAAACAAGGTATAGGGGCAATCAATTTTACATCAGCACAAAATGCTTTTTACATCTACGCAAAATATATAAAACGCTGAAAAAATTGTAGTCTCCAGTTAGTCTTGAAATAACAACGGTAGAGTAATATAGCATGCTTACCTTTTTACACTGTTTAGAAAAAATAAACTAGAGGAAACAAGTTTTAAGTAATTTTTCGTTTATTCGAGCAGCACCGTTCTCGATGGTGTGACATACTATTCTTTACATTATTTCAAAATCTAGTTAAAGTAACAAAAGTGCTTCGGCACTTGTGCGGCAAAAAATAGACGTAATTGAAAGCTATGAGACTAAATATTCTCCGAATATAACAACTGCTCTCCGAAATTGTTTTAAACATAAAAAACCTTCAGAGTTGTTTTGGGGACCCGTAAAGGATTTGGAGCAGACATCTTGACCCAACATCCTCGCAATCAAACAAAAATGATCTAGGATCATTGTTTGAACAAAGTCAGGTGCTTTTGGCAGCGTGAAAATTGGCATGAAAAGAGCCAGACGCTCTGGCAATATTAGTGTAGTGACGTAGAGTAGTTCTAACATTTTGCGTTGGGAAACACCAAACTGGTTGTAAGAGCACTTCCAAGAAAAATATGCACAGTCTCTTCAAAGGAAACCATGATGGGATGTTCAGTACAAAGTGCAACTCAATAACTTTCGTGCTCGCATCGTATGCTGTACTCGCGAGTAGAAAATCGCGAGTGCTAGCGAGGCACAGAGCTGAAGCATTGATGACATAATCTCCATGGCTCCGTCCCTAGGGGGGCGTCTACGACAACATCCGTCCATGTGCAAGGCCTGCTGTCACTTGTCCCTGAACCAGAAAAGAAGTGCCTGGTCCGTCTTTCGCCACACAAAGGAGTATAGTTAGACTTTGGGGTAAAAAAGCTGCGTAGCTCTAGCGACAGCTGTGAGCTATCATTATGTGTGCTCGGTCGCGAGTGCATGCAGGAATACACGCAACTTCTCGGCAGACATGAGCAAACGGCCTGTTACCCTTCTGCGCACCATGAACTCTCCGCTTGGTTTTGTGACCGCTGTTACAATAAACCGCTAAAAAACGGTTATTTCCCAGCAGCGTTCGTATTCCCATGACTAATTTTTTCCCGTTTTGTGAGGTCGGAAAAAAAAGTAGTTAGCTGCTATAGCCTAGGTGTGGTACGACACGACTTCTTGCTCTAGCGTTCACGACTTGCCCCTTTCGCGGAAACAGATTGTGATCATGTAAGTAAAAAAATTTCTTCCCCACCAGCTCTTCAATCTATTCTCCCTCACACTGCCCTACTATAGCGCGCTGCCGCTGAGCCAACGAACCCCGCACGGTTGACCCCCCACCGCCGCCGATTTAAGAACTGGCGCACAGGTCCACTACGGCTCCGTTTAGAAAACCAAAGGCTTTCCGACTAAAGGTGTTCAGTACTACGGCGTTTTTGCACGACCGAGTTGTGGTTTTGAACCTAAAGCCTAACTATGACTTTTATTGCCAATAAGAAAACAATAAAATGGGCTATGAAAACATGACGCCCACACAGGGCCTTTCCTAGAACATTGGGTCCTGAGCAACGTACATCGGGTAGGATTGTGTTGGCTAGCGCACAATAGGCAAGTACAATTTCTTCATCTTTGGTTCCTACCAAAAAACACTTTTGCACCATGGCAAAATAATTACGAAAATATAAAGAAATTAATTGCGCAATTGAGACGGTATCAGAATAGAAAGCATAAGTTGAAATGATGCTGAGGACTTGGTTAAAAACTATCGAAAGCTGGTCTAGAACGTCGCTCGATTGCATCCTTAGTGACTCATACTTTAAGCATGGTGGCCGTGAAAGTGAGATATATTTAGGGCTTCAGGCTAAGGAATATAGTTGAAGGGAAGCTAACTAATTTTAAATTAACAGTTATGCACAATTGAGAAAGAATTACAAACCCTAAGAAAACAATTTACGCAGTCAAAGGATGGCATTTATGACACAATTAGCAACAAGTGAATCTGGTTACCGGATTTCGACTGCGGTGAGAGGGTTATTTTCTCCCGGCGTTTCGTGTTCGTATGCATAATAGGCGAACATAGTCCACAGCGATTGGTCGCATACTACAATCCCTGATCAGAACATTACTTTGTTGAATAAAGTAGCTTAAGTATCGTCTCTAAGTGAGAACATTGTAATAAAAATACCACATAATACTGACCAATTACTGCAAACGCTTCGGAAGGGAATGTAGGGTTTACACGTATGCTGCTAGTGCTCCTTATAGTTGAGTAACCAACTATGGATACTATTCACCACACAATTAGCTTGTTATACTTGCAAACAGCGAAGGCAAAATTATAGCTCACAGGGACTTGAGTCCGCCAGTGTTCTAAAACATTTGTTGAATGAGCAAGTTCGAACCGGGATTCTAGAACTACATACTTTGTCCTGAATATTTTTTGCCGGATGCTTATTCGCAGGACATTTTTGTGAGAGATAGATAGCCGAGTGGTGAATAGTCCAAGCGAAAACAATAAAATGAAACCCGAAGCATCTTACTGAACACAGCTGCGACACCTTTCGAACTATGAGCTGTAAAATGACAATGCTCCAATAAATAGGTTGCTGCAGGTTGGTATTTTTTATTAAATGAGTGCTGCTTTTTGAGACTGCACTCTCATGAATCATAGTTCTCTTAACATTATGTATTACGAAGCCTGTGAATTATTGCATCCTAAAATATATAAACTCCTTTCTCAAATGAATGTAATATCTGACTCGAGGAAGTTATTAATACCAGTAAAGCAACTTCTCGGATAAAAAACAGCAAGTAATTATTAAAATGTCATCACATGCTTCACCATCGTAATCATACTGTGCCGTGCAGAATATATATCAGATGCTGCCGCTATGTGTACATTCTTACTCTTACTCCGACGACGTGGCAACCAACTTAGCTGCTGCTGACTTAGTAGCACTTTTTTCAATTCCTGGCTGCGGTTAGTCCAAGGGTAGATATAACCATGCTTTTTCTTACTCGAAATGATCAAAACTATTAGTTATTGTTACTTTTAGTAGTTTAATTTTGTGAATGAAAGATTTTAAAACGGATTGATTGTTTTTTGCCTCCTTGTAGCGCTTGATTATTCTCAACGGATGTAGTAGAACCATTCGGCCCGGCATCGCCTTGTATTTTAGGCAAGATTCAGAGGCTTGAAAATTGTAATGTGAAACTAATGAATGTATTCAGAAATCTCTTTCAAATAATTGCATGTACTAAGACAAACAGTGGTTGAGGTACAACGTCAACCTAACGATTATTTGACATCGGGGATTTCCAAATCAAACTAAAGCAATTTCGGTGCACGATATGACACAACACTGGGCTTGATCTATTCAGGGCGCTGTCAAGTCTTGAAGTGGTTTATAAGTCACGTTATAAATTCAAGAGCTATAGACCAAGAACTGACTCTTCTATTTTACTGCTCTTTTTTCACTTCCACTCATCCCTTCTTTCTGCCGCTGGTCTGCGATCCTCGGCAACGTACTTCGAAGGAGTTAAGGCAATCGCAAGACAGCTAATTACGTGGACTTGTCTCCAGAATGTACTTTTTTTGAAAGAGTCGTTTGGTCTTCTGTCCAGACGCTAATTGCACTGTCGAATTGCGTTCATTAATGTCGCTCTCACCTGGGTGAACTGACGCATCATCGTTCAGCTACCATAGCACTTGAGGTGAGCCGTAGTCCTACACAAGCACTTAAGCTGCAGCACGTAGGCGAGGCAGTTAACGGACAGGCGCATTGTGTGCGGATTGAAGTAATGGCAGGAACGACCACTTCTCTAAGATCTGAAGCTCCTCCGTGAGACGTCAAAGTTAGTCCTCGTCCTCTTTCACTTTTTAAAGTGAAAAACGTCGGTCGTCGCAGAAAACATTTCTTGATTGAGTGTTATCTCTGTTACTCGAAGTAATGGGTCACTGGCCCTGTTGTGTGTTGAACTGCTGACTTCATCACAGTCAGATTCCCCATTGTAGCATTCGATCTCATAGTTGTCATCGCCCCGTTTTGTTTGCAGTCTCTCGGAGGAAGTACCGCACTCCTGGCAAGGCGTAAGGCACTCCTCGCTCGTATCTGTTCCGTGGCCTCGAACTCTTACTTGTTCATGTCAATGTCAGTTGCATCGAAAATTTTCTTGTTGAGCGTGATCAGCTGCACACTCTTCTGAATGAGTCTTTTTAATGAAATAGCCCACATAAGTGGCATCAGGAACCGAGGCGTAAAATTCGTTCGGTCAGTAGCACGATTGTTCTCATAGGACTGGCCCTGCCAACACCACAGATCTTCTGCAGCTGGTCAACTGATGCCACCGGAGCTAGTAGTCAGGGAAGGATGATAACTGGAGAATTTAGGCACCATAAAAGACGCCATGTAGTAAACACCTAACCGTAGACCAACCACATAATGCTTTTTCCTACTGCTCGTGCGGTAACTCCTCTTCACTTTTATGAATGTCCTCTTCCGTGTTACCGCCTGGTACTCAGTCATCAGAAACAGTACGTGAACATTTCGGTACGGAGATTGGCTAAACTATATATCTCAACATTCACCTGTACACAAGCCAGGTTACCCGTCGCGCTCGTCATATGATTGTACCTAAAGTCGGCCTATGGTGAAGTCACCAAACCATAATGCGGTCGGGGCAGTCACATTTTGGTGAAGTCTGAGTACTGTAGGGTCGATTAGTTAAATTTAGGCGTGCTTCAAAGAACAACCCATGGTCAGAGTTTCGAGAGCCCTCCACTAACGTGTTTCTTACGTCTTCGGTACGTGGCATTAGGCTAGAGCTTTTACGTGTGTAGAAGTAAGTGCATCAAGAACAAATTTGTCTTTTAACGTACCCCAATCTCAAATAGCTTCATTTTTTCATCTGCGACGGTTACATTTATTAAAGAGACCCAGAGATTGGAAATGAAAACACTTAAGGGTGCAAGATATATAATATTATTATTTGTAACAATTTAAAGTTTCAAAATGATAATATTATGACGAGATCCGCTGTTTTGAATGGCTTCAAGAAAAATGAACTACCAGTGTTTTTAGCGTGCACCTAAATATGCGTGCATGAGCCCGATGCATTTCCGCCCATATTAGGAATGCGGCGCATGCGGCGGAGATTTTATCCTATGTGGTTCCGGTCATAATACAACTTGAAACTATTTTAATGTGTTCCTAGTCTATGTCTCATGGCATCACTTCTCCGTCAGCCCCAATAAAACTTCTAGTCGTAACATGAAGCTTTTATTCTCGAGCGCCCAATAGAGATATTTTTCCGCAAGCAATATTGATAATATATTCAATTTAGGCTAATGATTGTATTTACATTAAGTGACTGCCTCATCGCTTCCGCTAACATTAGTCAACAAGTGCGCCACTTTGTTGAAGACTAAGCTAAAACAAGGAGCATAAAAGAAAATTTATACGCGATTCTACTATATGGAACTAGTTGTACTTTCATATATCTTCCAGAGTTTCCACGAACCATCATTTGATTCTACGCGTTCAGCTGAAAAGTGCTATATTTGAATGTGAGTGTATTTAAAAAAAACAGCACATGGCTTGTAAAAGTAGAGCAAGTGTAAACGCACTGTGGAGATGATGATTTCCTACTTGAAGATTACACAAAAAGATGCAATGTCTTGCTAATTTAAACAACTAATCCAAATTGAGCCATGTCGACAGCGAGTTTGGCAGAACGGCCTCTTCACGCGTCGGTCGTTATGCGTCGTGGACAATCTTAAACGAGACTGACTCTAGTACTCCCGCCTTGCAGCGTGTCTCGCTACCCAGTAAGCAGCCTCTTTCCTCACTGGCACTGCGAAACTTCTCAAGTATCTCCGCATCTTCGTCTAGCACCATGCATCAACGAAAGAGGAAGAAGAGGAAGAAAGTTTAAGCGGAAAGACAGGGAGGTTTGCCAGTTCTTTGACCGGGTGGCTGCCCTGTTCTGGGGAAAGGGGTGAGGGGAATGAAATCGACTTTACACAGAACGAAGGAGCACATTCATTGTTGGCCTGGGCATCATAATTGGCGTGTCAAGCGGTGACATGCCGCGTTCGGGCAGGCGGGTTGGTGGCGGAGCAGTGTACAGACACGCAAAGCAAGAGACACATGCTACAAGTAGTTGGGCAAATCACGATGATATCATTGCGGCACGGACTTTCTTCGTTCGCGTTTAGCAGTTTAACGTCGGCTTCAGCAGCTGAGCTGTTGAAACAGGATTGAGAACTAACAAACAATGTTGCCGAGCAAGGTATACAGGATGGATTTAGTAGTAACGTTCATGTTATAGTGACGAACGAAAAGTTAAGGTAAAGATGATCGTCCACCCGCAGAAACCGATAATTGCCATTTACTTTTTTAAGCATCGTTGTCCCTTAGCTCCCACCAAATATTGTGTCTAACAAATAAAACGGGCCGAATAAGTATAGACCTCTATTTCATGTCACAAGAAGTTCAAAGTAAAACAATGTTTTCCTTCAGGTCATAACAGGCGCTTGACCGATGACTATAAACTCGCAGTTTGGATCCCGGTTGAAGTTACCAGCTAATTTAGGTCAATGCCAACTCTCTGTCATGTTCTTTCCCGCAGTAAATGCTGCAAGCTGCGAGTTTTTTGTGAACCACCATTACACGATCACTGCATTGCCCTATATTGTGCCTGAACATCCACGGATGCTAAGGTGTAATCCTGGGTGATCGTAGACTACAGCAGTGTTTATCTTGCTCAGACAGCCCTTGCGTGCAATATATTATGTGCAAACGTGACACTACGATCTCAAAACGCTTATCAAGGGATATAACAATTTGTGAATTCAATCACATGGTGGCTTCCTTTTCAGGTGCAAAAGAACATGAAGGGGTTTCCTGAAGGCATCCTTTTTTTGATGGGCCTACTATTTTTAATATCCTCGCTGGAACCCTCTATTGTGGATGCTATAAATCTTCCACCATGTATGAACTTTATACTTTTCTTGGTAGAGTAATTCTAAAGTAAAACGACAATGAACTTACAATGATGAAATGTACTTCGGGGACTCTATACTACTTACACCATCCTAGGTTTATTAAGATTTGATAAAACTGAGGTGGCAATTTAATTGCAAATGCTAGTCCAATTTTAGCGCGAAGTCACCAATTCAAAGTGTATCTTTTGTATTTTAGTGACGTTGCTCTAGAGAATGTTCTCAGATATCGTAAATTAGGTATAGGTTAAGTTGAGGTAAAATGCGATGAAAAATTTTCAAACAGTGAATATTTATAGTGACTTCAGGAAAATAAAGATCAATGCGAAAACTTTGCTTTAATACAAGGCAAGTGCTGCCTGTATATTACCACGTTGTCGACGCCCACATCATTTATAAAATAAAAAATTCACGTAAATTTGGGCTTCACAACACATCATAAGAATCTCTAGAACCTCAGAAAATTGTGCAGGACGAATGACCAACGCAAGGTAAAACAGGCAGAAGTATGCTAGAGGAATGGGTTATGAACTAAGCTAATCAATGTGGCGCTAAAATATAAACCCCGCATGAGAACAAGAAATGTTTAGTATTATTACCATTACCAAAAAACATGCACCCCGACCATCATCAGGCAAGTAGAACTGAAATATCGAAAAATTTACCTAACAATAGAAAATATTTACCGCGAAAAACATACACAGACACGCCTAAATACAACGGAAGTGACATGTTCATATCAGTAGTGGACTGCAAAGGAAATCATAAAGTGAGCGGCTCGGTGAGAACGAGCTTTGCAGAAGAGGCTGAGGAAGCAGCTATTCCACTGGCCATAGGATCCACCTCGACTTCGCTAATCGTCAGAAAGTTTACACGAAGACAAAATAGCTATCAGAAAACTGGTTGGACACAACTACCAGCAAACAATAGATATAGTCTGGGAACCAGCTCACTTCTCCTTACCCGGCAATGAGGCTGCACATTAGACAGCTCTAGGACTCACAGACCAAGACTCTGGATTGCCCTGGACGAGTTTGCCGGGCGATGAGCGATTTGAGTGGTTGACCACACAGAGAAATTACACAGTATTACAGGCTTAGCAGGAAAATTTATAATCCCCCACACTCGTCATTGAACAAAGGACAGGTGGTGGCGAGGCGCCTACTTCAGACCCATGCGTTTCCTAGTCCGGTAACAATGAACCACTGCGTGCTGAAAATTCATTAGGACAAGTGTAAATTTCCCAATAACAAGGGGGACTTGAGCCACACTCTAGGGGCATGCCAACAGGCCCCCATGAGAAGCAAATTTCAAGACAAGACTGAATGAAATACCGCGCTCCTCAGCTCATACTCGCAATCACAAGTCTGCCCAATACGGAAGGCTGAAGAAGCCGCGAAGGCCCACGGAATCATAGCTCTCGTATAGATCAAGTCCTTCCTCTTACGCCTGAAAGGGAGGAGAATCTTTATGCTATTCAAATAGATTTCTTCATTATGATTCAGGTGTCTCAATTTGCTCTCAGGTTGTAGGAAAAACGAGACGCTGCATGGGCCGAAACGAGACAGTGTGAAAAAAAAATCAATCCTTCAGTTTTCGCAGTAGAAAGACAAGAAATTTCATCTAAAAGTCCTTTACGCAGTTTTAAGTAGCCGAGTCCTTGGTCCCCACGTTTCGAATATACACAGAACACGGTGTTGTATTGCTCCGAAAAAACGCCACCAGTATTTCTTTGTGCTAATGATGTCTTTTGTCTAACGCTTGCACCTCCTCGGATTTTTCCGCAGTTTGAGGCAAGATGTGTTTTTTTAACGTATCCTCTTCAGCTCTTTTTGCTGTTTTGATGCAGATATGTTCAGGCGTGTTATGACTTTTAATATCATCTGCCAAGCTTTGTGAGGGAATGAATTTAAATCTGTGCTAGATTCATAATTTATACCGCTTGTTTTTTACAGTTAGAATATTGGAGAAATCTCGCTAAGACTCGTCCTTAAGACGTGTTTCTAAACGACTTGACTTGAAGATTCCGTCACTTTTTATGCGCTCCTCGAGAAAAAGCTTCAGAACACCGAAAATCTTCGGTGCAGCGCGAATGAAAAGATTCATGTCCTGAACGGCAATCTGTGCTGTTCGATGTCGCTTTCCGCCTAGGAATCTCTATATAATATTTCTTGTGTGGAAAGACTCTCCTAAACAAAAAATATATATAGAATGAAAGGTGATGGTTCAATTATTAAGACAACACTTGAATTCCTTTTTGTCGCATTTTGCCCCTCTGCACATACCATAAATAAAAGAAAATATTTTCCGCTTTTTCCCCAGGTACCAAACAAATTTAAACATTTGGCGTTAGGCAGCTCGTCGTCTAAAGCAAGAAAAAGATATTTACGTTGCTGTGCTGACGCAAGTGTAGCTTCATGCATGGATTAGAAAATTTGTCCGAGCAGAATTTCACCACTTTTTGACTGATCTATAACACGCGTAAACCAAGCGCGTAATTTTTCCTACGTGAACGCTGTCCGCAGTCATAAACTTTCACACATGAATAGGTAGATAAGGACCAGAAGTTATTGCTGGAACAGAGAAACAAAGAAAAGTAACTGTTGCATTAGCTACAAGCTGGCAAAGTCAAATGCCGCGTTTCATTCAAAGGGTCACGTTCAAAGTGACGCATTTTACGCTACCCTACCCTATTTCATTTTCAGAGAACAATTCACTTCGTTATTACCTGTTACATATGGCGTGGAATATTGTAAACGCTATGAAAATCTGTGATTTCGCATAACCGCATATTCCTTTTGCACGGTTCTTCTCTAGCAAACCGCCTCTACCCGGCAAAAGAACGCACAAAGGAACGATTTATTTACAAGAGAAAAGCGGCTTTTTACCTGTAGTCTTCCTTTAAATCTAACTTAAATGGCCTGTTGGTTTTTAAGTTTCACATCATAGCGAGCATGTTGCTATGTTCTCTTCATGAACTTGAAAATAGTTAAGCAGCAGTTTTACTATTATTCATTTCTTATTTATTTTTTATATTTAATTTTTATTTACTTATTTGATTTAGTTCACCCTATTGAAGTTATGATCTCAACACTTTTGTGAGTTGCACTCAAGAAACAGGTTGTATATTGTGAAGTGAAACGCATCAGTGAAGTCACATTTAATAGAATTTTGACGATGCATGAACTGCCAATATTGCAAGTAAATGCATCTTGACCAAGGAAGAACAACAGAAGGTTAACAATATTGTTGAGAGTCTGCGCAAGAGACGTTATGATAACACAATGACTCAATCGGACAGTGAGAAGAACAATGCATTCAGACTTTTTGTGCATCAGTAACTTCACAAAAAGCGCCAAACAGAACAAAAAACACCTCAGGACATAGCGAACCGACATTCCGCGAAAACGACGATGTGGTGAAGCCTCTTATTACATCCATAAGCAATGTGTCCTGGTTACGAATGCTCCGGGACCAACGACTGTTTGAACAAGCTGAATGAGAATGATTACTCTGTGAACTTTACTCATTAGGCATTGTTTTTCTTCTATTACTGCTCTAGTGGGAGCTTTGGTGTAACGAAATATCGTGAATGAAATTTTTTTAAATAATCCCGAAACAATAAAATACTTGCCATGAATATCTCTATATTCCAGTGTGCCTAAAGGATTCGACGTTCACGTCCGGTAAAAACGCGTCTTGTGCGTAAGCATTGAAAACATATCCAACCGATTTCTTTGGTGGTCAGATTTATCCAAAGTAACAGTATATTGTCAAGGGGCCCTGACGTAGACGACGACAGCAGACTCGAGGTTCAAATGAACCTGTTTATTCGACAAAACTTGTGGTTAGAAAACTGAAGGTCAAATTACAGCAACACACGGGCACTAATAACGCTGAACAGAGCGTCGGCCATCCATTAACTCACAAGCGGCGGAATCAACACATGTGTCGCTGAATATTCAAGCCTTATCGCAGGTCTTTGCGCAAGCTCCGGAATAATTTGTAGTGTTCGCGTCTTGCGCGTAATCTTTGCAGTACGATGTACAATGATCGCGAACGTTCTCGACTAATGACGTGTCCGCTCTGGGCATTCCTAACCGAGGTTTTGTGGGCGAAAACCGAATCAAATTAAAGTGAAAATAAGAAACGCACGTGGCATTGCCTCCTCCTGAAAAGGCATCGTGCCGACGCTTCAAACAGAACATAGGAAAAAACTTGAAAGCAATTAAATAAACAAATATTAAAGTTCTTAGTTCATTAACGCCCATGAAAGAGCTGAAGGCGCAGGATATCATTGGCTTCAGGCCGTGTGCAGCTCCGTTGACAGTTCTTGATGCCGTCTGGGACAACCTCGTAGTTGAGTACGCCGAGACATCGAACTAGCCTGTACGGTTCGAAGTATTGCCGCAGAAGTTTTTCACTCAGTCCACGTCAGCGTATCGGCGTCCACACCCAAAGACGGTCACTGGTTGCTATTCCGCGAAGTATCATCGAAGATAGTGATGGTAGCTTTCGATTGTCTGTTGGGTCTTGATTCGGAAGCGGGTGAGTTGCTGCGCTTCTTCGGTGCGCTGAAGGTAGACAGTAGCGTTGAGGTTTTCTTCGCCAGCGACGTTGGGCAGCATGACATCGAGCGTCCGGAATGGGTTCCTTTCGTAAACCGATTACTAGGGCGACATCTGTGTCACCTCCTGTCCGACTGTGTTTTAAGGTCACTACGAAAGGATAGCGTACCAGGCCTTGTGTTCGACATCGAAGCACGCAGCCAGCATGTCAGAGGTTGTCTTTTTTCAGTCACTTGGTAAGGCTGTTGTTCCGTAGGTAGTAAGTTGTCGTCCGGTGGCGGCTCTTCTCGCTGTGTGCCGAAATTGCATAAGTTGTCAATGAGAATGATAGTAAGAATGACTTTCAATTTCGCATCAGAACAACAATCGATGCAAAGGGGTGGGCAGAAAAAGCTGTTGTTTAGACAGCCTAATGAGGTTTAGGTTACTCCGCAGTGAAGGCCATACCCTTGTCGGTAATTAAGGCCATTAGGGCGCCATGACGCAGGACGATGTTTTGACTAACTGCTACCTCGGTGGTACTACCGTTGGGCAGCGCCTTTGTCTCGACCAAGCGGGTGAGGTAGTCAATAGTTACGACGATCCATTTGTTTCTAGAATTCAATGCCGGGAACAGTCCTATCAAGTACACGCCGATTTGCTGGAACAGCCAGAGAGGTGGCTCGATGGGGTGCACAAGCAGAGCAGTGTCTTCCGCCGCTGGCAGTTTCAGCAGGGTTTATGCAGTGGGTGCATCGGCGGTGAGGCAGAGCCAGTACTTTTCCTGCATCATCGCTAGCGTGCAGTGAAATCTAACGTGTCCAGCTGTCAAGTCATCATGTAGATCATCCAGAACGCCTTGGTGTCAACCGGGTACTATGATGAGCTATTTCACTCGATGTGGCGAGTAGTTTTTCTTGATGAGAATGCCGTTGGGTAAGAAAAACGAGGCCAATCCTCGCTTGAATACCTTTAAAACAACCGCCGCCTTACCCCCGAGGTATTCCACAAGGATCTTTACTTCAGGGCCAGCTCGCTGTCATTTTGCAAAGTCATAGACGCTTAAGGTTGCCAAAAAGCAGTAGCCATCCTAGTTGTCTGCGGTGGTGGGTCAATGGGAGCGTGGGACAGACAGCCAGCGTCAGAGTGCCTTCGCCCCTACTTTTAAACGACGGTGATGTTACATTCCTGAAGTCACCGACTACACAATGCAGGGTGGCCTGAAGGGTCCTTGATGCCAGATAGCTAACAGATGGCGTAGTAGTCACTCACAACCTTGAAAGGCCTACCGCAAAGGTAGATGCGAAACTTGGAGGTAGCCCAAATGATGCAAGGCGCTGTTTTTTGTGAAATAGTTGACTTCTACCTTTGATAGCAACCTGCTCACATAACAGATGACCCTTTCAAGTCTGTGTATCTTCTACACGAGGACGGCACCGTGCTCTACACTGATTGCGTAGTGTAGAGCACGGTGCCTTATACTGCTCCCATATACTGAAAACCACCTTACGCTGCCGCGTACTTTATTCGGAATGGTAGCTTGGACAATTAAGTGGTTTCTTATTGACATGACTGCAAAGCGTAAGGTCAAATAGAAGCACCACACGGCCTTCATCAGAACTGGAGCTAGTATAAGGTTTTGCTTTAAAATAAATTATATCCGCAAACCGTTTTTATATATTGTTACAATATATTTCCCTCCTTTTCACAGTATGAGCTAGCTTGTAATCAAAGTAACATATACTTATCATCTGATTTTCTTTTCTTCTCAAAAGTACACAGAGTTTTCACAAGACTATTCCGAAGACAGCGATCACGACCCGAATTGCCCTCCTTCCGTACGTATTTTACTGCTCTTTTTATACCTTACCAATAATGCGAAATGCTGGTTAGCATGAGCCGTTTCGAATATAAATAGTAGGTCAAAGAAACCAACAAAATATTATTTTGAGAGAACGTTCAGGCATCAACAATCTTTTTTTATTCACATTTGAGCTAGAGCCCTTCTGCTCGAACCAAAGCGGTGATGACGAGTACTTTAAGGTGAGAAGATGAATACTATGCATAGCGCTTACACTAACTTTCTTCCGTGACGAAGCGCTTGGCCTGGCTGCGGCTTATCCCCGTAACAAAACACTCCTCGACTCGAATTCCATCCTTCACTTTACTGAGTTGAGCACAGTGTCGCTTCTCGACTGAAATTGACGCTGCGCTTCTGAAGAATTGCTTCAGAATATTGCCTATATGCAGTGACTTTGTCTGCCATGAGACGGCGCTCCCATCGACTTTTTCCAGTCGAGGATAGCCCTTGTGTGAAGGAGCGTTTGTGAATACGTGGGTTAGATTGTTGAGATACGTCACAAAAATGCTTTAGACTGGAAACATGGATTATCTGTGAACTACGACAGTGATGGTCTGGAGAAACTTCAACGGAAGTGCTACAATCGTTAACAGGGGATGTTTGTTCAGTAATTATCTAGGGAACAAGAAGTAGTGACAGGAACTTTTTACACAAGCCTGGAATACGAGTAGGTGTCCAAAGGAGGGCTTCATGTTCAGAACAGAAAGAGACGTTAAAGTGTAAGTTCTGATACCGCTGCTTCCTTTCATGTTGACTGGCTCCGGTAATGAGCCCAGCAAGTTGGCGACAATTTTCAACTCTCAAAACAAACTGGTCGGGTGGAGTCGTAGAAGTGATGGACATAGTGCAGAACAAAAAAGCGTCGTTCTGAATGTGACCAGTAGATTGGTGAATACCCTGCATCGCGTAGAGCGGCGGTGTTAAGAGAGAACGTCACAAGTGTTAGAATATTGTCCCAGTAATCGTGAGCTGGCCCAATATTCATGGTTATTATTTCAGTAAGCATGCGGATGAAGCGCTCAAAGATACCATTTGTCTGAGGATGGTATGCTGATGTTGTCTTGTGAACTGTGCCACTCTTTTTCTTCACTTCCTCAAATGCTATTGATAATAAACACTTGCTACAATCACTCAAGAGGACGTGGGGTGCACCTTGCCACAAGGCAATGACTTCGAGAAAGAAGGTTGCCACGTCAGAGGCAGAACAGTACCATAGAAGAGTGGACGACAATTTTCGCGTACTGCGTGAGGTGGTCGTCTACGGCTGTCATGAATCATCGATATCCTATAGATGTTACTGGAAGAGGTTCTATTGGTCTATTTCCATAACATTAAAAGTTTTCTCGGGACATGGGATTTGTTGAACAAGCCAGCAGGTGGTGAAGTTGGTCACTTGCGTTGTTGGCAGAAAGCGCAAAGGGAGACTTACTTTGCAATAGAGCTCGAGAGCCCAGGTAAGAAAAAGCGGCATTTAATGTGGGTGTACGTTTTGTGAAATTCCAAGTTTCCAGCTGATGGGTCATCTTGAAAGTTCTCAAAAACTTGCACACGAAGCTAACGCGGAAGAACAGGAACCCAACTATTTTAATCGTAATTATAAACGTATCGGTGTAGCACGCTGTTTGCAATCATGAATCACCTCAGAGGTCCGTCCAACCTAGCGTTAGGTGTAGACTCTCCGCACAGGCCTTCAACAATCTGCTTGCAGTGTGAATCTTGCTGTTGACAGAAAGCCAATGAAGTGTAGCGATTGGAAGACATTGGAAGCGTGAATTCGGATAACGTGTGTGGACGCGATGCCTCTTGCTGTGATGAGGCAGGAAGAGGCTTGCTAGTTGTAGATGGTAGTGGGAGAGGGTAGCGAGCGAGGGCGTCGCCATATTGGTGTTTTTCCCCAGATTAGTTGATGATGTCAATTCTGTTCTTGTTGCCGAAGCACCTAGCTGCTGATGTGTCCGTTCAAATTCTTTAGCTATGATAACCAGCACAACGCGTGATGGTTTTTTATTACGGTAAAATGATGTTCGTATTATCAGGAGTGGAATTTCTGTACGACACAAATTACAGCCAATCAATCTTGTTCGTTAATCGCGAAGTTCTATTCAGGATCCTTGAGTGCGCGGCAGGCGTAGGTGACTACTCTTTTGTTACCAGTTGCATCAGCGTTACGAGAATGGCACTGATGCCATGGCTACTAGCGTTGGTGTGCAGGCAGGTAGAATCATGCTCTTTGAAGTCACAAAGGGTTGGGTCAGATTTCACTGCTGCTTTGAAGATGTTAAAAACAAAGCCCCAATTGGTTGCCCAAGCGAAGGCTGTTGCCTACGTCAGCAGCTTGTGTAGTGGCGATGCGTTGGAGGTGAAGTTACGAATGCAGGGGTGGAGGTAAGACACAAGGCTTAAAAACTTCGTAGCTGCTTTTGATTCTCGCACCGAGGGAAGTGCGTCACAGCCTTCACCTTGTCGGGGTCTGGTCGAACACCACGTTTTTTAACTCAATGACCCAAGACTATGGTGTTCCTTTGAGCGAAGCGACACTTTTTGTTTCCAGTGTTTGAAACAGGTTTCCCACTTTATGTGACGACGAATGCTCAAACGTTGCTGGAGCGTTGCATTTACCGAAGGTCATTACATTGAACTGATAGAGACTATCGCGTGTCGCAAAGGCTCTTTTGTCCTTGTCTGCTCCTCGGATCGATTTTTGCGAATAGTGTGATCGAACATGGAGGCTTCAGAAATATTCGGCGCCCTAGACTTAGCCAATGGCATCGTCAGTTCGTGGCATTTGGCGTAAATTATTGCGGGCGAAAGTATTTAGTGCTCGGAAATTGACGCAAAGTCATGCCCAGCTGTCCTTCTTCCGGACCAGCATGACGGACAACAATCAAGAACTTGACGATGGCCGAATGTTGTAATTTTTCATCATGTGAGTTTCATTGCTTTTGATGATCCTCTGCTCCAGACACGCAGTATGGCTGGCGACGTACAATAAAAGTGCGCTCAGTTTCTATGCGGTGCTACTCATCATTACCGCTTGAGTTCAATCGGAGGAGATCGGTCTCTAGCTTAAGTTGTGATGGATAGTATTTACAGGTGAAAAGATGAATAATGAGCGTAGTACTCGTGAGATACACAATACTACGTAGAAAGAAATTGGGCTTCTTGAAGTCATTGGTAATTCTGTCGACGCTTAGGCGTACATACATCCCCTCGCTTAACCACCTGTTTCCCACTTGCACTCGCCCGCGAGAAATGGCGGCTGGCCAGCAGGGAAGACCTGGCACGCGTTGCGTTTCTCTGTATTAGCCGAATGGTTTGAATAGCTGTAACATGCTGTGAGTAGGCAACCTTAGTCATAGCTGGGCGTCCCATCAGTGCGACTCTTCTAGCTGTCACACAGCTTACTCATACTGCGAACTGACTTTTAACTAGTACATGGATATCAAGCGTCTGCAGTCACAAGGACTTGCTTATTCATGCATCACGAACGTAGGTTGTCCAAATGGAGACGTATGAAGAACCCTCAAACTGGGCCTATCCAAAATAGGTAATGGTATCGGAGGCAACACCGAATGACTGTCCGCAAGCTATGTTAGATAGTTGCACAGTAAATGCTCAAAATTTATGTACGACGTTTACTGTATATTTCACAGGCTTTCCTTGCAGCTTGAAAAAATGGTACACGAGAGGCTGGGTTTACTGAAAATATTGCAGAGAAAAATTGCAATATATCAAACTAAATGAGTATATATGTATATATATATATATATATATATATATATATATATATATATATATATATATATATATATATATATATATATATATATATATAGTCAAGTAGATCCTGCGTGAGCGGTCACAACGAGGCTTATTTCGACATTTTGGCCTAAAGTTTGGCCTTCATCAGGATAGACCGAAGGGCATTGCATTGAACTCATACTCAATTCTGATGAAGGCCAGACTCCAGGCCGGAACGTCGACGTAAACCACGTTGTGACCGCTCACGGAGGATCTACTTGACTTCTTGCAACGCTACGGCCACTCAACCACCATGCCTGCCTATATATATATATATATATATATATATATATATATATATATATATATATATTTATAAATATATATATATATATATATATATATATATTGTCATGACCAAGAGAGACACTGGGGCTTCGGCGCGCAGATAGCTAGAGCAACGAAGAGAAGAACGAAGTCAGAATAAGAACAGCTGGCCCAGGATCGGGTGTTGTCTCTTGTTCTCTGTCTCGTTCATCACAATGGCGCAGTTCGACAAGTGAACCCTCTGTCGGAAGCCACCAGTGCGTGTCTTCGTGGTTCGTCGGCAGTGCGGGCTTCTCCATCCAGTAACGCCGTTCACGCTTATTTGTTTATGGAGGCAACAACCCGGCCGCCGCTTGAGCTTCCCATCGAACCATCGGTGGACGGTGTCCGTGCCTCCTCTGTGGTATCAGGGCACCACGCAATGGACACTATGCTACCACTTCACGGCCGTAATACGCACGGGCTCCTGTCCTTTGGGAATGGTGTTCGAGCTTCCCACGACCTGCATTCCCTGTCTGGTACTCTTTCCACATACGAGCCGCCAAGAAACGCTGTTCATGCTTCCTTGGACGTGCGTGTCACCGCCGTGAGTACTACTAGAACCACGTACTTCACGGACGCGAACCAAAGCGGTTCAGAAGCCTCGTGCAACAGTGCCGTGGAACTGCGGCGTACCATCGAGCTACTCCGCGCTGAGATTAACAAACTGACCGCGTTGATCGCCGAGCGAGCTCCTACAATGTTGCCAGAATTGTGTGACATCAACGCAGTGTTGGATGTAGCTGCCTCATACGACCTTGAGGCAAGCACACCGGAGCAACGCAGGGAGCTTCGGTCTTCTCTCATCGAGCTCTCACGCCAGCTCGACTGCTTCGCGTCGGTGATCTCTGCATTGCCACCTACCACCTC